ACATAATTAACACATTTCTACCAAATGCACAACTAGGTCATTATTCTTTTACTCAACGGTATTTAACTGTTCATCTAACTGGCATAAATGACACCTTTCTGTCAAATGCATAGATAGACCATTATTCTTTTGCTCAACGGTATTTAACCATTCATCTAACTAGCTTAAATGACATCTTTTGTTCAAATGCACAACTAGGTCACTATTCTTTTACTCAACGGTATTTAACCGTTCATCTAATTAGCATAAATGACACATTTCTGTCAAATGCACAACTAGGCCTATTACTCTTTATTTTAGATCAGATTCTACTATAATAATCATTCATAATATAAATTAACCCTTTCAATCATTATACATTCTATGGTTTATACCTATAGTGCCCATGCAATAATCCCACTACCAATACGATAATTCACCTTGTTATTATGAACTTCTGACAATTTTACTTATATTTCCCATACAAAAATTCATACTCTTGGTATAAATTTCTTATTTTGCACACATAGTGCCCATACGGAAATTCATACACTTAGTATGAATTTCTTAAATTTTTACACACTTTCCATTTGGTAATCACCATACTTACATTAATAAAGTATAGAACTATGACTACCGTAACATATACGTACATAATTAAATGTACTCATCTGGATTGTCTCGCTATTATACCCAAAATACAAAGTTGACCACTCTGGTACTTTGCCTTTGTCTTTAGTTTTGCTTGACTCAGGATCTTGATTTCGATATACTCAAGCACCCAAAAAGACACATACAATATCAATTGTTAGTATATTTCCTAAAAATTATACTCAAACGTTACTCAAGAGTACATATTATTAACTTTCTATACAATATCAACCTATTTTTAACATTTCTAGCTCACTAGTATCGATACCCCAACCATGGTATCGATACTACTATACTAGGGTATCGATACTCTATTACAGTACATATACCATTTTTGTATTATGTGATCAAATGGTATCGATACTCTATTACGGTACCTATACCATTTTTGTATTCTGTGATCAAATGGTATCAATACCATCATTACGATATAGATACTCCCCTATTGGTATCGATATCACTTGAATTGTGTCGATACTACTCTACAGATTCTACTAATTTTAAGACTATAATATTTGTACTGTTCTATCAGTATCGATACTCGTGCCCAAAATTTCCAATTTTTAGCCTAAATATCACCCAAATTGGGTCAAATTTTGGTATGTTTACACCATACAATACCATTAAGCTCTTATTTACCTACCCATACTAACTTTCTTTCATTTTGTTTCTTAAAACATCTAAAATCTTCCAAGAACATTCAATTCGAAGAATCATACCACTTTTTCTAGTATATTATTAATCCTATCCAATGCTTCTATTCTTTCATTTACCTCTTTGACAAGTCAATTCTACCAATAAACATCCATAAATACTCATATATCAACATATCATCTAAAAACCCATTTTCTTAAATCTCCAATATCTCATCTATTTCATAGTTTTAATCTCATATAACTTTTCTTTAAGCTTACATATCACCTAAGGTTGTAATAACAACCCTAAAATCGAAAGAAAAAACTGATTACTCGAAGTTTACCTTTGGAGCTATGGAGGAGAGAAAACCACGGGAAGAATAAGAAGAGTAAACTAAGTGTTTTTCACTTTTCCCTTTTTCTTAAATCCATAATATAATTTAAAATTCATCTTCCCTCTTAAAAGACCAATTTCCCCTCTTAACTCATCTATTGATACAATTTACTTCAAAATATTGTTCCAAATCTTTTCCTCATCTATTACCATTTATTCAAATAAATCTTTAAATTTCAAATCTTTTCAATATAGTCCCTGACCTGATATTTGGGGTATTACAGTTGGCACCACAAGCAGAGCTTGATAAGTTGATAAAGTTCACTTAAGAACTTGAAGAGAGATTTAACTCACAAGTATTTGATTAAAAAAGTGTTTGATTTCTTTTACAAGCCAAAGACATAATTATTTATAGGTGTTAAGGATCCTAAGTACAATGCACGGCTAGGTGTGAACATAGGTGATTAATAAGTGAATGAACTTGAAAATTCATGAACTAGTGTAGTTGCATTCCCCTTGGTCGAATTCATTATTTTTGCATTATGAAGATTCAACTCCCTTGATGTAGGTAAATGAGATGGTTCATTTTCCTTACATGAACATGGCTCATTGTATAAACATGATGATTCATCTTCCTTTGGATGCATGAGCATGAAGGATTCGAATCCCCTTGTACCTTAAATTTACACGCCTTGTATGAATGGAATTGGATTAATGTATAAGCTTGATGAATGTACTTGAATAATTGTGTTCATCATCCCTTTAGTAATGTACATGACCCTTGGATTGTCTTGTCTCTTTGTGAGGCAAAATGTTGATTATGATGATTCATCTTGGCGCCAAAATGAGAAGATACAATGTATGGTCGAATGGTGAGGACTCCTTGGATGTTGGTGCCTTAATGTGTTAAAATTGAAGTGCATATGTTTCTTGAAGTACTTGATTCCTCCCTTTAATGCACATGGCTTTTATATGAATGAATATAACTTCCCACGCCTAAAGTAATGTATGTTCGGTTATGGAAGCATGCTAGGCTTGTGACTTGTACATGGAACCAAGGTAGGTACTTAGGTAGCTAGCTAGGTGAGTTGTAGCTAGGTAGAATTAAACTAGCTAGCTAGCGATATTTCAGCTACCCTCCAGTTACCTTTAGTCCTTAACTCAGCTAATAAGTCCTTAGCTACACTTAAGTTAGGTTCAGCTTCGTTTAAGCTCATTTAACTATCCTTTAAGCTTCATCAAGCTCCTTTAAGCTAGGTGAGGTAGCATGATATGCTCATGAGCTATTGTGAGCTGCCACATCTTGTAATCTTTATCTCCGAGCTGCCATAACTTTCCTTATCTTCCGATGTACCTAATTAAAGCATGAAATTAATCAATTAGGTAAGTAATAAGTTAGGAATTGATTATAACGTGTTACACGCCTAACATATGAATGTCAGGGGTATGAAAGCTAAAATGAACATTGCGTAAAACAATATATGCATGAAAAAGTTAAGTATGATATGTGGACATAGGTTATGCATTAATATCATATAGTATACAAGTGAATGACAACATATGATTACTCAAGTATAGTCTAACTTGCAAAAGCATACTTGTAGTAACATGTAATGCATAAATAAGTAAATAAGTAATGAAGTAAGCTAGATCAACCTTAGATTGAGTTTGGTAGATCTTTAATGATGTGAGCATATCATGAAGAATTTTGTGCTAGGTAGGATCACATCACAACCCCGATTTTTTTTTAAAATGACCCAATGAGATCGAATAAGATAGAAAACTGTTAGGTTTGAGTCCCGTGTCCATCCCTATAAATAAGGTAGGGGTTCGAGCTGATATTTTGTATTTATTGAACACAAAACCTATAAGAAAAGGGAAGTCAACATAAAACTTTAACCATATACTCTAGAAATTATTAACTATCAGTGCACTAAATAAATATTCTTCTAATATTTTTCATAAGTTATTGTGCTTTATTTTTTAATTGAATTTTTTTTCATGATATGTAGTGTTTATTTTTATACAAATAGAATTTTATTTAAAAAAATCTAAAAATACAATGAAAATTTATAATCATAAATGTAAACTATAAACATAATTATACATTTCTTCATTAATGTGAAACTAACCACTTAATATCATATAAGGACTATACAAGAAAAATGTTAAAAGTCAATCAAATTATTTGAACAAAATAAAAATGCAAATAGATCTGAGTGCACCGACAAACGAATCACAACATGAGATCAAGTAACTAAAAGATCACTGATAATTACAAATTAGAGTCGAGCGTCATGAGAAAATTATATCTTCAAACACAAACCACATATCCAAATTTATCAAAAGGTCCAAAGCAAGACAAATTAACAAGATAATAAAAAAGCATCATTTTAATCAGTCGAGACAATATCAAATTAAACCATGAAAATAATAATAAAAAAAGAATGGCAAAATTGCATATAGAGAAGATCGAAAATGTGTCAAAAAGGTAGAGAAGAATGCGATAAAGACATATAAAATCAAGCCATAAAGATAGAGTTATTAAAAAAAAGAAGTAATATAAGAAAATAGATGAAAAATAAAAAAAATACAAACAATAGTTAACCAACATTAAAGTTAGTGTTACCAAAAAAAATACTAAGAAAAATAACGAGCTACACTAAAAGAAAAGTAAAACTCCTATGTTTTTAAAAAGAATAAAATTCTAAACTGTATGAACCGTAGAGTTATAACTCTACAAATGAGATTAAAAAATATATGCGATATTTACAGAATTAAAAAAAATTCATCCTTCAACTGTCAAGTGATTATCTTTATATGTTATATTACATTGATGTCATTTTTATTACAATTATTATTATTCATAGTAGAATGAAAGATTTTACAAATAAATACATAAAGTTGTAATGTATATTTAATTATATTAAATAGAAGAATAAGAACACATACTTACTAATAACCTCATTTGTAATTTTTTTCCCCTTCATTTCATTATTTTTTGCATTGAATAATTATTGTTTTTTATTATTGGAAAAAGATCAGAAAAGAAATTGAGGTTTGTTGGCAGTGAGAGAGAAACAAGTGAGTAACAACAAAGAGAAGACTCTCAGAATAGTTGGGAAATTGTGTTAGTAAGGATAAAAAAATTAAAGTAAAATGATCAAAGAAGGAAACGAGCTAGCTTGGCCGTGAAGAGAAGAACATCTCCAATGGCATCTGAGATAAATAATGTAAAGTATTTAAAAGTATAAAAAAAGTGTATAAGTAAACTTGTAAATAAATCAAAAGATTAACAAAGGAGGGGGGAGGAAAGGAGCTCAGGTTCTGTAATAATTTAGGAACAAAGAGCAGTTGGGCAGTGGTTAGTATGTCTTTTAAAAAACAACCAAAGTTTCAATCATTAATAATTCTCTCTCACACAATACATCAAACACAGTCTTGTGTGCTTTCTCTCTCTAGCCTTATAGCCTGTCTTTTGCATTTCTCAGAAGATTTAAAAAAGAATGGAATTTGATGCTTTCAAAGGTTCTGTAATAAACTTCAAATGTTTCCTTCTTCTCACTGAAGGAACTATTGAATCAAAGCCTTAAGCCTTTCATCATCTATGCACCATTATCTTCCTTTGATTTTGAGAAACTCTCTTGAATCTTTGTTAGTTTTTGTTCATTTCTTATATTATCAAATTGACATATCTGGGTTTATCTTGTTTTCTCGTTTAGGATCACTTTAGTTGTTTTACCTTAATATGATCTTGGTAAAGCAGTCATTTTTAGTCCATTGCCTAGTCTTTAACATGCGAATTTGATGCTTGTAGAATTCAAACTAGGATCTGGGTTGGTTGAAACAAACAAAGGAAAAGATCAAAGGTTAAAATCCTCAAATTTTGAGACCCATTACTGTTTGGAAATTAAGGTATTTAAAAAATCACCCCTTTTTCTTTGCCTTGCAGCAGAGTAGATTTGATCCTTGGGGCTTTTTGGAAGAAGTAAATAGTTGGTCTCTGTAAGTTCTATAAAGCTGCCAAGATTATATATCAAGAGGCTAGTTTTGGTCAAATCAACTTTCCGTCTTTGTTTTATGTTCTTAGCACTGCTCTAGGTTAGCTGCTTGAGTGGTAGATAGGCTGATTTCCTTGGAATTTGGGTGTTTTTTTTTTTGGCTTGGAATCTAAGCATGGCTAGTGGTGGTAATGATGATGTGGGATTTAAACACCAGAGCCTTATGAATTGTTCATCTTCAGAGATGAACCCTTTGTGTGACAAAGTTGATGGAATGTCAATGAGTAGTTCAATTTGCATGTATAACAAGCCTTGGAATTCATCGGATCCTTTCTTCGGCTCTGGTTGGGATCCCATTGCTTCATTGAGTCAGAGTGAAAGCCTTGTAGGTTCTTCAGTGGTTTCTCATGGTGAATTTGCCAATTCTCATTACCCTCTTCCGATGGAGAATCAGGGAATTTTTGGGACTTCCCATTTTTCCCAGTATCAATCAAATCCGAGATTTGTTGAGCTGGTTCCAAAGCTCCCAGGATTTGGTAGTGGAAATTTTTCGGAAATGGTCAGTCCAATGACTCTGCCACAAAGCAGCCAGGTTGCCAACATCCAGGGTTTCCCAAGTTATTCTCTGAACCATGATGGTGGCATTGAAAGGGCTTCGACGAATTGTACGCAATCTCGTGAGGATCGCCAAATTTCAGATGGAGTTGTAGGTGCTGCCTCCAATGGAAAGTGTCGAAAACGAGTGCCTGAATCAAGCCAGGTATATTGTTGATTCAATCACAGTTGGTATCAAAACTTTCCAGCATTATGATAATCAACGACACCACTGACTTGGTAAATTGGCTTTGTTATTTGTGTTAGAATGCGGACGTGGAGCGGCAGAAGGATCCTTCGGGAGAGAGCTGTGATGTTCCGAAAAGACAGGATGCAAAGAAACTGAAAACCAAACAAGAATCGGGTGCGAATTCACGTGGCAAGCAAGTTGCAAAACAAGTTAAAGACGGTTCTCAAACTGGGGAAGGAGCTCCTAAAGAGAATTACATCCATGTGAGAGCTAGAAGGGGGCAGGCTACTAACAGTCACAGCCTGGCAGAAAGGGTAACTTACGGGTTTCATATCGAAAGAACAATGTTTTGCGTCCTTAACTTCATATTGAATCCAGTAGTCTTCATAATTGCAGGTGAGAAGGGAAAAGATAAGTGAGAGAATGAGATTTCTTCAAGAACTTGTACCAGGATGCAATAAGGTAACTATAGGGTCATGGGTTCATCATAGACTTTTTTTCAAAATGAAAATGGATCTCGGTTATTTGATGTGGTTTCATTGCTTTAGATTACTGGGAAAGCTGTAATGCTCGATGAGATTATCAACTATGTCCAGTCGCTGCAACGGCAGGTTGAGGTATGAAACCATGACTGTCACTATGTTTTTGTTCTATGGTTTTTCGTAACAGCGTAAGAAGTTTAATGTAAATTATCGTTTGCTTTAGTTCCCTGAGATGTTATTGTGGCATAATACTTTGGTTCTCACTGATACAATTAAGGAGCTATATTAAAACTTTCAATCAAGATTAACTTGTCATTCCTCAGTAAAAAGTAATAAATCTTCGGCTTTAGGCCAGTAGCTAAATACGAGCACCTCCTTTGCGAATGTTGTATTGCAGTACTATACTAAATGGTTAGGACATGAATTTATGCGATTCAATTTTACATGTATGAACGAATTTGGCGAAGTAGTATCGGTGAATCAGTGATTGTGACATTGTTACTTAGACCTGAATGTGCTATGTTTCAGTGACTTGACATTTTTTCTTTACAGTTCTTGTCGATGAAACTGGCCACCGTCAACCCAGAGTTAAACATAGATTTAGAGAGAATTTTATCCAAAGATGTAAGTTAATATTTCATTATAGAGAAATGATACTATGAGTGATGGTTATGAATCCTTACACTCTCCTGTAATAGATTCTTTATTCACGAGGCGGAAGTGCAGCAGTTCTCGGAATCGGTCCTGCGATAAACTCATCATGCCCTTTCTCCTCTGGTATCTTTCCTGGAACAATTCCAGGCATCCCAAGTACAAATCCTCAATTCCCTCCCTTGCCTCCTCAGGTATTAACTCAAAGGATCAAAATCTTTTTCTCTTTTTCTCATCAAAACATATGATTCAAACACATTTCCGTTTACAGACTGTACTAGACAACGAGCTTCGAAATATTCTTCAAATGGGGTTCGACTCGAGTCCAGGCATGGACAGTTTGGGACCAAATGGTATTTTATTCATTCAAGTATGGTATTTTAGACTGGTTTGGCATGTTTTAACCTGGAGCTGGTATCGTTTTCAGGTGGATTAAAATCTGGGCTTTGATACGAGGAAGAAGTTGGAATGAAAATGCTTAGTTCCTGCTAACCAAGAATTGAAAACGTTTCAAGTTGAGTGGACAAGAGAATTGAAAAAGAAAAGAAAGGATTATTCAGAGGCGTGTATAGTGGTTTTAAGTTCTAACTTGTAAGATGATGTGTATATTCAGGACCAAAGATGAAGATGATGGGATTCTTGGTTTTGCTAAATGTGGTGTTCTCTAGGGGCTTTGATGGATTGCAAAATTTTCTTGTTTACGAGTTTTCCATTTGCTCTGCTGTTTTCTTAGTAGACAAACACGATGGTCAAGTGATATTGGTATTTGTAGATGGATGGTCAAGTGGTATTTGGAAAGCACACTTCAATCCATTTATATATAGTTATTTTTAGAACATTACTGTTAGTAGTGTTTAATTTCATATCATTTAAATCGTGTAAAAAAGAAGAACCGGGATGAGTAAATAAAATATTTTTTTATAAAAATTATTAAAAAATGAAATTGTAAGAATTACAGTAATCAATTTTTTTATTAGTCGGGTAAGTATTAATGTAATATTTATTCAAAAATAACTTTCAATCAAACTTGAATACAAATATTTTTGACGTTCTTGATGTTGAAAATCGGGAGCTAAGAAACAATATTAATCGATCTTTAATAGTAAAGATGAATTATTTTATTTAAATATTAAATGCATGTACAAAAGATAAACTTATCCTTATTTTAAAAACATTTTTTCGAAATAAAAATTTGAAAGTTAAAATTGATAAAAAAAATTGTAAATATAAATAATTAAAAAATAGATTTTAAATTTATATTAAGGTATTAAGGTTCATGCACTTAAAAAAAAGTTAATGATCGTCGAATTATTTTTATATAAAATATGGTTCTTTAACTCAAAAAATAAACTTAATATGATCATTTGATCAATATTTTTCGTCGTTGACTTTAAGATGCTGACGTGATAATTCACGAAACTGATGCAACAATCTACCATGATTGATGACATGGCACGACACATGATATGACAAATAGATTAAATTAATTTTTTTATATTCTTCTAAGGCCAAATCATTTTTTAAAAAAAGTTTAGGGACTTGTTAATTTTTTTAAAATATTTTAAATATAAAAATATTCAAAAATATTTAAATATAATAAATATTAAAAATAAATATTAATTTACTAAAAATGTAAATTTATATTAAAAATTAAAAATTAAATACATATCATAAATTATAAAATAATAACTTTTAAATTATTAATTTAAAAAAAAAATATTATACATAGTATATACATGTAACATATAATCATAACACCAGTACTTATAAAAAATATTCTTACTCGATTAATTTCTTTCAATATAAGAATTCAATATAAAAATTGAGATTTAAATAAGTCAATAAGAGTTGGTTTAAGTGGTAAGTAGTTTAATAAGAAATGTTTGGAGTTCGAGTCTTTGTATATGCAAAAAATCTTTGTTCATAGACTCATTCACCAAAATCAAGTGCATGGCGTGGGTCGTTTCGGATTAACCTCGAAACCACGAGGGCAACAAACAAAAATTGAGATTTAAATTGATAAAATTGATAAATATAAAAATAAAATTTAAATTCAAAATTTAAAACAATACATATATAGGCAACGGGTTTATAAAAATGTTAATGGGCTCATATCCCATATGGGCAATGGATCGTCCGAAACCCTCTGTAACTGGTACCACGCGACTAAAAGCTTCAGTTTGTTGGGCAGCAACTAATTGAATAACAATGACAAGTGAAAATCAAAGAAATTGGCAAAGCTAATGCCGTAAAGTTCCAAATACGAATAGGCCCTCAATCACAGAAAAACAGAACAACCCAACACAATGACATCAATATTGCATTATTCAAGTCTTGTTACACCAAAAAATATTTTTTTTATCAAACTATATAATTCCCATTCTTTCATTCCCTTATTTTTCAAAGCTTATATATAGGCTCATAATATCGATTGAGATACCAGTGACCCCCCATTCATCAAATCAGATCGAGTTTCCGACTATCTCAATGCACCCAGATAAGCATACATCCATCTTACTATGATGTAATTCCTTTGTCGACGCTAAAAAAAAGGCTATAAATGTCACTAGTCACCGCCACTGTGCTAGTTGAGACTGCAAGAAAGATCATCATCCATGATATTAGTCTATCATTCTTTGTTGCAATTCCATGGGTGTCCCTGCATGGTTCCTCATCAGAACAAGCAAACAAGGTCTTCAGTTGATAAGAATCGCATTAATCGGTCCCAAAACTTTATTCTTTTCCGAAAAATAGGACTAATTTAGGGACTAATGTTGTTGCCATTGCCAACATCACATCCAACATAAAATAATTTTGACACAAAATTTGAAGGGAAACTTCATATATAAACTATATATAGCTTACCTCAGGGTGATTGCAGCCGGAAAGATGAAGCCAACACAAACTGCAGCAGTTGCACCAGTGAACTGGAAGGCATCCCAGATACTAGGAACACAGTTGGCTCCCATAAGTATAAATCCCATAAGAGCTACTGTTACCGAGAAGAACCTCCTGTCATCAAAAGCAATAGGAATGGCATATGGAAGTAAAAGGCCATCTACGTTGAGACGAAGGGAGAAAAACACAATTGGGAAGACAAGCATCAGGTGAAGGCCATAGCTCACTCTAACCAGATCATCAAGCAACAAACTATATGGAATCCCGAGATCGCCATCAAAATTGGCAATCACATCATCCATTGTATGATCCCCAAAGAGGACTACTCCGAAAAAGCTGGTAGCAATGTAGACAGAAGAGCATAATGCAAGGGACTTTCTAACTATTGACTTCAACTGTGTAGAGTCTTTCAGTTCATTCTCTATTGGGAGTACTGCAAGGTGAATTTATTCAAGAGAGGAAATGGTCAATCAGCACTCAACAACAATAAAAGAAAGCAATCATACGCTAAACATTTAAAATCTTTGCGATCAAACTGCCGATGGTCTTTACATAAGTAAGGCAGGTCATGTTCTATGTAATACTGAATCATAAAAGGCCAAACTTGGTCTTTTCCGAGTTGAATGTATCTACATATTACACATATCTTACCCTTAGAGCACTCAACCAACAAACCAGGTGGAAAGTAAATTAAGTTTAGCTGATCGGTTCGAATAAACTTGAACAAATATTATAGTAAACAGATGACATTGAAGGTAAGAAACAGTAGAGAAACAATCTATCTACCATGACTTATTATTATGGTGGCATATATAAGCAGTAACTACAACAGGGACAGAGGTGAAAAGCTTCCAAAACGATGCCTGGTTAACCAGTTTTGGCATTAGTCGAGGCATTCCGATTTTGCCTTCGATCAACTTAACAACCACAACTCCCGCCGTGATTGCCACAAACACAAGCGCTAAGCCAACCGACAATGTTGATATGTATCTCAGTGAATCTAAAATTTAAACCCCCAAAAGTGTTAATACCTTAATGTTTTAGAATTTTGACTGACTTAATTAAATCAGTGAGTTCCAACTTACTAACGCGCTTGAATGAAATGAGAGGAGCGAAGACGAAAAGTGTGGTGAGCAAGAGTAAAGCCGAACGAGTGGTCCACCAATGCTCCCCGAACCATTCTTCCATTAATCCCCTGTGGTGGAACCCATCTTCCCAAGTCCCCGATAACACATCACCTGCCAATAATTTCAAATCCAGTTGTAATCAAACGGCTACTGATAAGTTTCTCAATTAGGGGAGTAATTGTGGATTCCACATAAGTTACCTATGATGATCATGTAAACAACGAGCATCCCCAAGTTGTTGATGACGATGCAGGCTTGAAGGATGTTACAGCCGGGTGCACCGAAAGCGTCGGCGGCTACGCCAGAATAGGTAGCGGACTTGGAGGCACGGCTAAACCTGAGGATCATATCGATTGATGATTTGGTTAACATAGAGACGCATATGATTGTGAGGAGACCGGGGATCAAGCCGAGTTGATTGACTGTGGCTGGGAGGCCCATGATTCCAGCTCCGACAATGGTGGTGGAGAGTTTGAAGACGGCTCCTGAATTAGAGGCGCCATCGAATCCGGATCCGTGGGCATCGAAAGATTCGTCGTCGGACTTCTGAGGGAGGAGCGGGGTTCGAGGAGGGCGGCGGTTTTTGGGAACCGATGAGGATAGAACCGTCATTTTGGTTCTTGGGTTGTCGTTAATACCGTTGAAGAAGATAATTTGACCTTTGAAGATGTGAGAGGGTAATTCTGCTCATGAGGCGGCGTTGACACGTACAAAGTGGGTGGATCTATTATTTTGAAATACAAAGTAGGTGGATTTAGAAAGACGGCTTGGGGGGAATGATAACTTGCGATTGATTTAATTTGTGATTAAAAAAATATTATTAATTTTGTTATTATTTAAATAATAAAATCTGTAAAAGATTACTGGAAATGTTATTATTTTTAGGATAGATCCAAATTTGATAAACCAGGAGAGAATTAGATAAACTGTTGCCTATAATTAAAAAACTTGACATGCACGTTTGGAGAACAAGTGATGGATCAGACCTTTAAATCTTGAAATATTACATGCACTGATAAACAATCCAAAACAGCATGGATTTTTCTAAATCCAACTTCATTTCTCATTTCTGTAAATGACAAATGAATTTTGCTCTGTTAATTTATGTAAATGAAATTGGCGTTGCTGTACGTCTTACTAGGACAGGATTTGCAACGTCTAGGCCCAACTCAAGTCTAATAAATATAGCGTTACCTTTAAATCGAGTCAGCTTTTGGGCTTTGGGGTCAGATATCGTGCAATCGTAGCCTAAATGAACTACACCTATATAAAGCCGAATACCATTTGCATAAAGGGTAATTATCAGACACATAGAAATTAGTTTTTAAATAGTAGAAATAAAGACACCAATTTTGTCTTCTCGTGTAATGAGGGAACCCTTGTGGACCCAAGACTTGTTGTCCTTCTCACGTAATTTACTCTAAAAATACCGGATCATGCAAAACCGTGCACAAAAAAAAGGGGTAAAGTACACAAATGGTCCTCCTACTATAAGATAATACTTTATTAAGTCTCTTGACTATTAAAAGTTACAAAATTTTCCTCTGACTATAGTGAGTTGTTTTGTGAGTCATCGACTATTAAAAGTTATAAAATAGTCACTGATTATGCATTATGTTCAAAACTTGTCATTTTTTTTTAAAAATAACGATTGCCTGAGTTGGACTTCAACATATTAATTGAGATATGATAGTGGTTCAAGATTATAAGATTAAATTTTATCACATCTCAGTCAGTAAGTTAACATACAACTCAGGCTGTTGTTAAATTTTTAACGTAAAATGACGAGTTTGGAACATAATGAATAGTCGGGTGATCATTTTGTAACTTTTAATAGTCAATGGACTCAAAAAAGTAACTCCCTATAGTTAAAGGACCATTTTGAAAATTTTAATAGTTAATGAACTTAATAAAATAATATCATATAGTAGGGGGGCCATTTGTATGTTTTACCGTAAAAAAGATGCAATAATCAAATAGAGACGCCATAGTCTAAACTGTAAAATCTTTTTCTTTACCTAAACAGCTGAGCTGAGAGAGAATGAAACGCAGTTTTGGGTGGTCCAGGCAAAGGGCTATTAATTTCCCGGTCAAGCAATACTTTCCATGGAAAGAAAGGAATCAAATACTAATAAATATTGACATAAATCTCAATCAATCCCCAATAGCTCATCAGAGTTACTTTAGTAGTTCATCACTCTTTAACATCAGACTGAAACAAATTTCTGATACAAGCAGGCAGCAACATTTTAACGTTCAATTCTATTAGTACCTGTCGTAACTGGTTTTCACTCGGGCACGAATTTTTACTTAGAGAGAAAAATAATGTGGATAGAAAATGGTTTTGAAAAAAATGTTTTGGGAGTCGCAATCGGCCTTTTGGGTCAGGTAGGTCAAATACTAAAAATTATCTTTTAAAAGAGTTTTTAAGAAAACATCAGTTAAAAGATAAACTGATATGCGTTTTAACCAAAAATTCGTTCTTTTTAATAATAAAAAGGGATTTGTGGTCGATTACGTTTGGGGAAGGATTAACACCCACACAACGCCTAAATTTGGTACTCATTAATTATAAATTGTCTCTATTATTGGAAATTTAAAAATTCAAAAAAATATATTTAATTCATAATCTTGTTATTTCAAATTTATTAATATAATTTTAAGAAAATATATTAATAAGATATTTATTTACTTAGAAATATCAGAAAATGACTTCTAGGTGCTTTAAGACAACCCATTTCTTAATATTAAAAAATAAATAAATATTAATAAAACATTTCTATAAAAATAATTAAAATAAATTAATATATATAATTTATAAAAATAGGATTTTTATTTAAGAATATCAGAAAAAGACTTCCAGGTACTTTAAGACAGCCCATTTCTTAATATTAAAAAATATATAAATATTAAAATATGATTATTTTTCTAAGAAAATAATTTAAATAAAACAATATGTGTTTTCTGGTTTTTATAAGTAAGATATTTTTTTATTTAAAATACCGGAATAGGACATCTAGTTGCTTTAAGACTGCCATTTTCTTTGATATTAAAAATATAAATATTATTATTTATATATATATATATATATTTATAAGACTAAGATAAAAATAATTAAAGCAATAATTAAAATATAAAATTAATACTAAAATAATATTGCAAATAAATCATGATTAAAATAAAAGAAATTAATATCAATAATATTAAATTGTAAAATATTAAAAAATCAGGGTAAAAAATGAAAAGAAACAAAATATTGGTGTCTAAAAAGTAAAATATCAAAATTTAAAGGACATAATTCGAATTATTATAAAAGTATAATTATTAATAGAGTAATTTAACCTATATTAGTTATTCGGGATTGAAATATTAAATATACAAATATGAGGGACTAAATATTGTATTTATCCTAAATATATATATGAACTGATAATGACCAAATTATAAAGTACATAAAGTTAAAAGATCGAATTTAAATGATCAAAAATTGCTTTAAGTGACTAAATTGTAAAGTTACAAAAGTATGAGTGTTGCGGAAAGGGTTTACCCATAATAGAAAATACAGAAACACCCTCCCCAAAACGACGTCATTTGGGAGAGGGTATATAAACCCCTAAATGGTCGGCCCTTCGGGCCAATCTTCTCATTTCTTTTCTTTTCATTCTCTCTCTAATTGAGATAGAATAAAAACGGTCTGCCCTCTCTCTAGGTTTCCTTCGCCGGAGGGAAACCATACACCGGCCGGTCGCTTTACTCTGCCATCGACCACCACCGCCGGCCACCGTGAGCGGTGGCCAGAATTCCCAAATTACCCCAAAAATTTTCTTTTTTAACCCTAGTACTAAATATGGCCTTCTTTTGTTCTAAAAACTCTTAGATCACCCTAGATCTAAGAAAAACCGAAGTTTTTACCTCGGTTGGAACAACGTCTCCGGTGACGTTTCGAAGACCTCTGATGTTGGTAAGTATTCCGGCTTCTTTTCTTTCGGTTTATATTTGTCTGGGATCGTTGGTGTAATTTTTTGCCGTATATTTTCTTTCATGTTCGTTGTACTCCCCCCCCGTCCCTTTATATTTTACAGTCTCGGTGGGTTTTATAGCCACCACCGAGCTATCTTTGGACCGGGTAATAGGGGCGACGTTTGGTGAGTCACCAAACTATAGTGGTGACTCACCCTAGGCTTTAACGTGGATGGCTGCTCTTGGTCTTCTGGAGTCTTCGTCGGAGGCGTGGCAGCGATAGAGCGTCGGCAGTAGTTGTTTGAACCACATGGCAGTGGAATCAACAGAGAAGGCGTTGCGTGGCCCTAGGGTTATGATACCCTAGGGTTTTCATCTGGAGGATTCTGGACTGTTAGATCTTGCCAGATCTAACGGCTGAGATTGATGCTGGCGGCTGAGATATAAACCCTAAATGGTTTAGGGTTTCCTTTAGGTTAATGGATCTGGGTCGGTCACTGTTGGGCTTCGGGTTGTAAATGGGCTGCCGATCTGTAATTGGGCCGTGTAACTGGGCCTGTTTTTAAATAATATTTTTTTATTAATAATATAAATAATAAACAAATGGAAAAAAGCTAGTTTCTTCAGCTACCCCTCTTTGCTCATTCTTGTGTTAACGAGAATAGAGCAAAGATGAAAAGATAATGAGTTTTTTTTCATTTGACTTTACATTGAAATATTGAACAAGTTCTTCTTATTATGAAATTTTTCACTGGGGATGACAATTTATTTCCTTCTGTGACGTAATCTAGCAAAATGTTGAACAAATTCTTCTCATTATGAACGTCTTCTTCTTCTTCAGATGAGTTCTTCTCATTATGAACTCCTTCTGGAAATGCTGGTTTTCAAAAGAGGGGTTGTTAATTTGGCGTCATATGTGATGAATTAAGGCAAGGTTGAACAAATTCTTCTCATTATGAACTTCTCCTCCTTCTTCAGATGAGTTATTCTCATTATGAACACTTCTGAAAATGTTGATGTCGATATATCTCATTCTGTGATAGAATTAAAGAAAGGTTGAACAAGTTCTTCTCATTATGAACTTCTTCTTCATCTTCAGATGAGTTCTTCTCATTATGAATTTCCTATGGAAATGTTGATCCATCGAGTGATGAATTCAAGCAAAAAGTTGAACAAGTTCTTCTCATTATGAACTTCTTCTTCGTTCTTCAGATGAGTTCTTCTCATTATTAACTCTTCTGGAAATTCTGATGTTGTTCTATCTCCTTATGTGATAGAATCAAACAAAGGTTGAACAAGTTCTTCTCATTATGAACTTCTCTGGAAAAGTTGATCCATCTAGTGATGAATTCAAGCAAAATGTTGAACAAATTCTTCATTCTTCAGATGAGTTCTTCTCATTATGAACTCTTCTGGAAATGTTGATGCTGATCTATCTCATTCTATGATAGAATCAAACAAAGGTTAAACAAGTTCTTCTCATTATGAACTTCTTCTTCATCTTCAGATGAGTTCTTCTCATTATGAACTTCCTCTGGAAAAGTTGATCCATCGAGTGATGAATTCAAGCAAAAGGTTGAACAAATTCTTCTCATTATGAATTTCTTCTTCCTTCTTCAGATGAGTTCTTCTCATTATGAACTCTACCTGGCAATGCTGATCCATCA